AATGAAAGTTGACATGGTTGATTCAAGCGAAAATCTTGTTATTTGGAAAATGTCAATACTCATACTGTGATTCAGATATTTTACATATGTTTATTATTTGAAAATTTTAATATGATCTAAGTTGTTATCTTACCTTGTCGAGTAATAGGTCGTAGAGTTGTAATACCAATTACTTTGAAAGAATCACTGTTTGAGACAATTGGTTCAGACTGTTCTCCAACAAGGTCATTCCAAGTGCATACTTTCAATTGGCTGATCAGTACTGAAATTAGAGGTTTTTTAATATTCACTTTGTGTTAGTATAATATGAAATGAAATGAATGCAAAGATATTAGTCAGTCTATAACAACAATTACCTGTGATCTATCACCATAAGATCTAGAACTGATGTCTCTTTGTTAGATGATGTCACTATTCTCCTTGGTTCTTCTGATACATAAATAACTAACACAAGTATATCGAAACACCAAAAAAAATACACTAAATACTAACATTTTGTATTATGCCACTTTGATGTATTTGACAAATTATATGGTTGTATATGTAATTCATATAATATGTTTACCATGTCTATCATCATCAATAGGGATGCTTAGAATAGAAGCAAGTGTTTGATATTTGGGGTAAATTGATTCTCCTTTAGGATCCAAAGATCGGATGACAGTATTGCTTCCTATTGACAAATGAAATGGAATGTCATCTTCTTTAGCCCTCCATTGTGCATCCAAGTTCCTTACTACAGCATCAGCAATCTCTTAGTTTCCTCTAAAACTAATAACATCCCAGTATGGCAGAATCTGGTCACCAAAAAGTGTCATCTTCATCCGCAAGCAAGAATTTGTTAATTTTTTAAGTGCTTTCATCAATTTGTGCAAATTGAATGTTAAGTTTCAAAATGTATGTAGCATTAAATCTATATACCTTGTCATCTTCGAAAAACATACACTGATATCGTGTATTTTTTTCTGATGTTTGTGGACGACCCTTCTCTGCAACCCTTACTTTGACCTTGAAATTTTTTGTAGTTGTATCGATTTCATCTAGGAATTTCCATTGTGGCGCCATGAAGATGTTCTCTGTTTGATAATTTTGAAATAACTAAATATTATGATCAAAGAAAACATGTTTAAATGCTACAAACCTGTCTCATACTGCATGCCTTAAGTAAAAGAGTTTTTGTTCAAGTTTATGCATGCAAAATGTTGGAATATAAATAGTACCAGTCTGTTGTTTTAATTGTACAAAATATCTAATCTATATGATTTTAAAATCATTTTGCATGCTTTTACCTGAATTTTTTTAAAAAAAAAAACCAGAGATAATTATGCATGCATCATGTACAAATTCAGAATACACTTCTAATCCTGTAAGGTTTTTTTTTTTTTTAAATGTATAAGTAACACATTGCATGTATGAAATGGATGTTTTGCAAATTTTAATTAGCAATTGCTATGCATGCAGAATGTTAGAAATGAAAAATAACATCAGTCTTATGCTCCTACTGTACAACATCTAATATGTAAGATTCATAAATCAGTTTGCATGCCTTAAATCGATGTTCAAAATACATAAATGAAGATGATTGTGCATGCATCTGTAAATACTTAAAATACACTTTTTATTATGCAAATTCCCTAAAATTATTTATGCTTGTTATGATTTTAAAGTAAAAAGTTTCATACTTCATACTTAAAACATATGATTCTCAGACTATGCATACAGAATGTTAGAAATGAAAAATAACATCAGTCTTTTGCTCCTACTGTACAATATCTAATGTGTATGATTTATAAATCAGTTTTCATGCCTTAAATTGATGTTCAAAACACATAAATGAAAGACAATTGTGCATGCATTTGTAGATACTTAAAATACACTTTTTATTATGTAAATTCCCTAAAACTATCTAAGCTTGTTATGATTTTAAAGTTGAAAGCTTCATACTGCATGTTTAAAACAGATGATTCTCAGACTTAAATTAGTAATTTTTAGCATGCACAATTTATATAACAGAGACAATTTAAAAGCCATAAACTAAGAAATAATAACACATGCATATCTATCTAAATCTATGAAGTGATAACAAAATTTATGTTAACACGAAATTTTGATTGATCATACCTATGAAGTAGTTGATGGTTGATTGCTGTGTGTTGAACCTAGTACAGCTTAACCAATCGTTTATGTATTTGAAATTTTTTTTATGTATAGCATAAGTTTATAATTAGTTGGTGTTTTAGAGAATACAAATGATGCTAAACATTGCTTATATAGTGAAAAATAGATGGGAAAAGAATGCATGCAAAAGTTGATTGCAGAAATTTCCACCCCCCTTCCAAAAGAGATTGCATGCATGAACTATCTCAACATGTAATAGTGTTCTTGTCTCCTCCTTTTTCTCCTTTTTTTCCTTTTTTTTCCTCTGATAATGAAAATAAGATTAATATATCTAATTTTCCACTATTTACATTTACATTTTTGTGGCATTTCTCCTGATTTTAAAATCTATATTTTGAACTACAAATATGTTCATGTACATGACTTAAAATGAAAAATAACTTACAAATGAATTATTTAGATTAAATTCCTAGTTGTTCCATCACTGCAAACACATAGGAAAACAGATAAAAGTTATTAAAAAATAAAAATAAGCTTACTCATTGTAATGGTGTAGAAATTATTGGTTTTAAGAAAATATACACAGTCTCAAAACCAATATGAACGAAAAAGAATGATGATCACTTATATCTTTTGCCACTCTAAATGATTCCTTCCAAACGAAGAATATCATAAGATACTTTATTCTTCACTTCTGTCGCCTTCCGTTGCTTAGTGCTAGCTTCAGTTATTACACTGACATTAGCTGATTTACGAGCTCAAGAAAGTGCGACATATAATTGTCCATGTGAAAGACAGGATCGCGGTAAAAAAAAAAAACCACAACTTGACTAAGTGTTTGTCCTTGAGCTTTATTGATTGTCATTGCAAAACTAAGTTTCAAAGGAAATTGTTTTCTCTGAAACTGAAAAGGATAGCCTTCTGAATCTGATGGACGTAATAAAATACTTGGAATCAACACGTGCTGACCTTTATTATGTCCAACAGCAATAACACACTTAATGAGATTACGGAAAAACTGCTTGCATATGATTCTTGTTCCATTACACAAACCAGATGCTGGCAGAAGGTTTCTTAACAGAATAACAGGACTATTAACTTTCAGCTCAAGCTCATATATGAGGACTCATACCACCAGGGAAAAGTTTGTTTCGAAATTCAGTAGTATATACGGCGCAATATTCATCAATCATAGTGTCATAACTTTTATACACTACTGATTCACCCGGGAATTTGCAAATCAAACTTGAATTTATGGCATCAACATCCTCATTCATCGGTGTCAATATAGCTCTTGTAGTAAAAATGTCTGAACTAAATGGAAACATATCCATTTCTGGAAATGCTACAGCTGTTAGATGTACATCATCAGCTATTCCAGTACAACAAGGCTTAACAATATCTGATGGCAGCTCAACAAACGCATCCTCCATTTTTTGCAATTCACCATTTCCTAGTGCCAACAGAAAAGCTGCATATGCAGGATCATCTTTAGCCCTTAAGTTTTCAGTAAGCCTGATCTTCAGAAATTGTGGCCACAGAGCAGAACTAACTAAACTTGCAGCAACTGCTTCTCTCTGTGATTTACGTGGAACAATTGGAAGAACTTGTCTAAAATCCCCACCAAAAACTACTAATTTGCCTCCAAATAATACACTTGAATTGCAAATATCTCTAAGTAGTGAATTGAGGGATTCAATATTTTCCTTCTTAGCCATAGAAGCTTTATCCCAAATAATCAACGTTGTTTCTCTTAAAAGCGCAGCTAAACTTCTCTGCTTAGGAACATTACAAGCAAGTGATCCTGAAGGGTCTAAAGGGATTTTAAACCGAGAATGCGAAGTTCTACCAAAAGGAATATTGGCTGCAGCAACACCCGAAGTTGCTGTTGGTAAAACAATCTTATTCATTAATCTGATTTCTGCATAAAGAGCATTATATAAAAAAGTTTTCCCCGTTCCACCAGGACCATCTATATAAAAGGCACCAGGCTTCCCCTTTGTAACATGATCCATTATCACATCGAATGCAACTCATTAAGCCTGATTTAACTTTTCTTTACATTCTAAACACTCTTCTGGTATCGGAGCATTCAATGCATCTTCTATATCTTTCGTAACATGTATAGCATCACCATCATCTTCTACTAAATTATGAAACCCAAAAGCCTTCAACGAACTTCCCATTGACTCAACTAATTGCTCAATCGATCTTACGGTTAAATGTTTCACTCTTGCAGCATCTTTAGGATATTATATCGGTAATCCTCTGAAAAAGAATCATAATATTTTGTCCACAAAGACAGAGGATCTCTAGGCTAACAGAAGATAAGTACCGTGGAAAACAATCTTCGAATAACATGAGGCATTTGGATGGCACATCCTTCAGTCAAGCACAATTCAATTACATCATCTTCTTCCATTAATCCTAACTTCAGTGCTGCCTGCTAAAAAGTGGCATAAATGTGTCCATTGACTGTACATAGATCTTTAAACGACTTCGGACTTCTGACATTGTGAAGCAGCAACCGCAAATAGTATCTTTCACCTTCAGAAGGTCTAACAAATGCTAACCTTCCAATCTGGATTTTTTTTATTCTTTCTTTTCTTCCACAGTTTATCTGATGCATTCCACCAATAGTGCTCTGAAAATTCACTATATAGCCATCTTGTTCACAAAGCTAATTTACAATTCATTTCGAAAAACTCTGTTAAACAGGTTCTAGTACGCTTAGCATCTGAAATAATTGATGTCAGTTGTTCGTTAGGTCTCATCTGTATCAGCTGGGAATTAGGCAAGTGGACAGGAAGAGGTAAAACAGAAGGATACATTTCATATAAATCAAAACCAAAAAGATGTCACGCAGCCTCACAGGGTGAAACCTATCGACCTGACTGATATTGTTCAATTTCATCTTGCATGGGAACTCCATCTTTTGTTTGGACAATATTGAAAGATATCTTGTCATGGCCTTTATAAACATACTTATACAGATACTTCACTGTTTTAATAGTTGAACAAACTTCAACATTTAAGTGACAATTGAAATAAGCTAAAAGATATGGATTATACGGAATCACCCATGAATTATCCATTTCAACACCCCGAACTTTGACAGTATCACACGTAGCTCTCCTTCGATACAAAGGATATCCATCACTGTTACTTTTTGTCTCTTCACAATTTTTTGTCTGGATAACCATACTTACAATGTCCACGTTGTTCTTTATGTTTCATACAAGGGCATTCTGGATTAAGATAACCACATGGACCATGCATCATATGCTTGATCACAATCTCTCTTAAATATCCATTTTCAGAAGATGGAATTTCAGCACAAACAAACTTATCAAAGTCATCAGGAGTCTTTATTTTGAATTCTGATTTCAAAATAATGAGAAAATGAGCATGAGGTCAACCTCTTTTTTGGAATTCAATAACATAAATCATTGTAGCCACTTCTCCAAATATTTTCTTCTTCCTAATTAAATGTTTTAAAGCAAATACCTTTGCCCTAAAAACTCTTGAAACGACATCTGGCCTATTTTGTGCTTCTTCTCCACCAGCAAGTTCTTGTTTTATTTCAGACCAATTAGGATTGCATGTCATTGTTATAAATAAATCAAGCTTGCCAAACCTTTGAACTAATGACATCGCATTCAGATATCTCTTCTTCAAATCTCGAGGGCCACCCATAAACGTTTCAGGCAATATAACTCGTCTTCCAACATTTTCTGCGCATTCTTCTCCACAATCTATAGTATCAAGAAGTCCCTGATAAAGATCAGCCCTTATTGTCTGTTGGTTCCTTCGAAAGAAATCCAAGCGTGTATTCTCTACCTTGACATACATGTTAGCGATATATTGTTGAAAAAATCTTCCAGCTCTGAGCAAGTAATTTCCCGGACGACACTGAAGCCTATATGCATAATATTCTCGAGCTCAAATATGTTTATCTGCCTTAGATGAACCTCCATTTGCACCTACAAATCAATATTTGGAAAAAGAAGGATAAAATTAGCAATAAAAGCATGTATATGACATATATAAAATCAAATATACTCTATTAATTAGAAATAAAAGATATGAACTCATACGCCTAGCTTCTTCATCTAACAACTCTTCAGTATTATGTACACTACATGAAGAAACTAGATCTATCTGAGACTGTAACTGTTGTATTCCACCCATAGACATCTTCTTTAGTCCTTGAGTCCACCCACAAACACCATATGGAAATAGCAAAGGATACTGTAAAGGATCATAGCAACCATAATAGTGTTGGAACATATGAGAAGAATCATCTACACCAGTAACCAATATGTGTGGACTTTCAGACTCACTGGAAGAAGTATTCTCTGGCCAAATAACAGCAACCTCATCTGTAGTTGGAGCATTATAAACATGCTGATCTGGAACTGTAGTCTTATTCAATAAAATTTGTGCTCAAACTTCGAAAAAATCTAGCATACGGATTTAGATTTGTAATCTCCATCAACATAGCCAAAATATTTTCTCTTAACGTAGAAAAACACTTTAAACCATTAGCTGATTCTTGCTAACTTATACTTATACTTGTCAAGAACACAAATTGAATTGCAGGTATAATTAGTATTAATGTCACTTATACTTGTCACTTGAATTGCAGGTAGCGCAAAAACCTGAACAATAACTCTTTCACCAGTTACTGCATCAAGAACCCCTATGAAAAATGTGATCAATGAAATTTTTAATTCTGATTTGTTGACATTAATAATTTTTATTATTCTTAAACACATGTAGGAATTCTCTAAGAAGACACTAAAATTACTTGAAACTTCAATTGCGCTGCCTTTTTCTTTTCCTTAATTTTCATTAAGCTGCTCCTATAACCTTTTTACAAAATTACAAAAACACAAATTCAGTTTAAATTTTAAAACAAAAATTAATAACAGTAACACAACAAAGTATAATAAATTTTTCTCTAATACCGAAGTTTTCAACCTTTGAGTACCTTTGAATTTGTTCAGTACATCTTCTCTCCAAATCTACAAGGTGGCTATTAGTGTTTGTCCTTGTTGATGAAGGTGCTTATTAAACATAAATAACAAATTCATAAGCAATTATCTCTATCTCAATTCAATTCAATATAAAATATGTTTACTACAAATGAGAGTTTTGAAATTACTCAGCACTTGAATTCCTTTTCTTGCTTTCTTTTTAGACCCATTGACAGCCTCTATTTCATTACTTTCACTTTCCAACCCTCTTTGACGTTTAGTCCTGTATTTATATGATGTCGTTGGTGCTCGTAATAATCGATCTACATAATCAGTGATTAACATTGATTTTACAAACTATTGTCCTAAAATCACTTCACTGTAAAAAAAAAAAAAAAAAAAAAAAAAAAAAAAAAAAAAAAACATTCCCTAGATCTTCATTGTTAGATACATGAAAAAACTCACCCATTTTCTATTTTTCTTTGCAAATTCCACAATACGTCTCCCTTGCAAGTGTCGTTGTATCAAGCAACCTTTTTTATTCTACACGTAACTTGTGTTCTAAGTAATCTGAATTTTCATAACAAGACATACCATAAGCTTTAAAAATCCACAAAATTAGATAGCAAACTCCAAGAAAGTTCAAAAAAGAAAAGTATAGCAACAACCAAAAAGTGTTCATTATCATTAATTACATATAATCCATTACAACCATTACATAACCAAAATATCTACTTCGAACTCTAATATATGTATTTACTTAAAAGAGTTCAATGCACAAGCATCACAAAAAACTATCTTGTGCAACATACATAAGCCAAGCAACTTCAAATACATGATCCAACAAAAAACTAACCCAGTTGAAGCAACAAGCAACAAAAGACCGCACATCAAGCAGTTAAAACTTCTTCAATACCAACTTAAACCCAAGTCATCTAATCCTTTAAAAGCCTTACATGCTTAAAATGTCCATGTAAATGTTCTGAGTCTTCCCCCTTTGGGATTTCTTCAATGCTAGAATCAGAAATAGCAAATGATTCTGGAACTTGAGATTTTAGTTCAATCTTCCTGAAAGCTATAACAGGTAGATTAGATATTGGAACCTGAAATTCCCCACCAACAGGAACTACACAGTCTTGTTCTACAAGACCTGAAGAAGGTTCCAATTGTTCTTTAACTCCCAACACACGTTCCTTCACACTTAAATAACTTTCCCTCTCCAAAACACATAGCAAAGCATCAAACCTACATGTCGTTGCCCTATAATTAGCATCCACTATTTCAAGATTACACACATCAATGAGATAATCAACCGCTTTCCTAGCTAGAACTTGCTTAGCTGCAGCTTGACTCAAACAGTAATCACTAAACAAACACCTAAATCCTGAATTGTTCCTATGGTGAATGATGGTAAACCAAGAAACATATTGATTCGGAAATTGTTCAATAATTTCAATTGGAGTGCACTTTACATCAACACAACTCAAAATAGACCTCAACACCTCAAGAAAATCAATAACAACTTTCCTCTGATTGTGTCCAATTCCAGTAGAAATATCTCCATGAAAATAAACCTTTGATTTGCCTTTCTCAATTGCCTCCAACTCCTCTTTCTTGTATCCATACAATCGACCACAACGTTCTTACATTTGCTTATGTAAAGCAGTTACATCTTCAACAACTATGTCATATCTTTTTATAAGATCATACACAACCTCTTTAGCCGCAATTTCACAAGATTCATCTACATTGACCGTATCTCCACCAAGATAAACAGTAGGAATAGCACTACTCTCGCTCCTAACAGCCACACAAGCAATGCTTTTTCGGAGATTGAGATATTGGTATTCTGGATCAGGGAAATCCAAGCATCGGTAATTTGCTTCAACAAAGGACGAAATGATAACACTACTTGTGTGAGCGAAGCATCCATAACCTATAATTCACGTACAATCAACCACTTCAGACTAAATTTCGCCCAAAACAAATACAACTACAGACACCAAAAATCAAACACTTGACACTCAAACCATATAAACCTACTACCAATAGACCAATAAACAATGTTAACCTTAACTTTCTAATACACAATGTTAATCCCAATAATATCCCACGATCTTCACACAAACTGCATGCAACAATTATAGACTTGTAAACCATTTCAAGCCTTTGTCAATATAAACCAGTACAAAAAAAAACAAAAAATCGTGTCACTCTCACTAATATTTCTCTCTGAACGCAGAACTCATACTCAAAACACTATCACACTACAATCTCAAAAAGAAATTAAACTAAAACTTTTAACCACATACATGCATGCAAACTTTTAAACCTCAGAAATTATATTCAGAATAAAAACAAAAACAACCAAAAATGCATGCACATTGTTCTTTTGTTCCTCTATCTTAATAATTGATCAACCAATTTAAATGCATGCACAAATTAAGAATAAACTTAGTGTCACAAATAGATTCTACAAATAAATGCAAACAAATAATAACATACACATATATGTCATCAATCTAAAATGCATGCAATAAATCATAAAATTATTTAGCATCTTAAATTAAATAAAACCATATTAAAACATCAAAATCAAATAGACAAACAATATATGCAACTAAACTCACACATAAAAATCGAACACATAACATAATTCTTAAATTTTAAGCTCAAAAATTTCCTTGCATGCAAAAAAATCAATTACACACTATCATCAAAATCAAAATCAAACAAGAAAATAATACGTACAAGTGAACTTACACACTAAAATCATATAGAATTATTAATCACACTAAATTTCACCGATTCATTGCCATACAAAATGCAAGAATCATGCACTAATCAACTTCTAAATTAATGGATGCTTGCAAAATTACCTGCATATTGTTCTTCTGTTCCTCTATCTCAATAACTGATCATCCAATCTAAATGCATGCACAAATTAAGAATAAACTTAGTGTCACAAATAAATTCTAACCAAACCACACAAAATAAATACAACCAAATAATAACATACACATATATGTCATCAATCTAAAATGCATGCAATAAATCAGTAAATTAATTAGCATCTCATATTAAATAAAACCATATTAAAAACATCAAAATCAAATAGACAAACAATATATGCAAGTAAACTCACACATCAAAATCGAACACATAACATAATTCTTAAATTTTAAACTCATAAATTTCCTTACATGAAAAAAATCAATTAAACATTATCATCAAAATCAAAATAAAACAAAAAAATAATACGTGCAAGTGAACTTACACACTAAAATCATATAGAATTATTAATCACACTAAATTTCACCGATTAATTACCATACAAAATGCAAGAATCATGCACTAATCAACTTCTAAATTAATGGATGCATGCAAAACTACCTGTTTTTTTCGTTAAATAACTTGATAATTGAAATAACTTCTATTACATGAAATTTTGCAATTGAAAAAACTCCAGTAATTGTGTTTAAGTTATCTCACAATGAAGTTATATATATGTACATATATATATGTATATATATATATGTAAACCTAACCCACTCAAAAAACACATGCCTTAAAACAAGCTAAAAGCTAAATACTTTATGTTATTACATTAAACTAATTAAACAAACAAAGCTATGTACACCTCATCACTTAATATTAATTAAAACACATAAACCACAATTATACTAATGAAAGTCAATAAAGTTTTAAAAAGTCAAAAAAAATCAACAAAACTTGATGGCAAATTTGCAATAACCAACAAAGAAAAAGTTAATTTTGGACATTTCACAACTTATTTTTGACAAAAAGGTCAAAAAAGTCATCAAAAAGAGATGAAAGTCAACAAAATTCAAGGATTTGATGGCATTTTTGCAATTACCAACAAAGTATGAGAAAAATATGGTCAATGCACTATTCCTTTCACTAATTTTCACTAATTTTTGTCAAAACTCCTAATCTTTTTCAACTTCTCACTTTTAAAGGTTGTAGATATACTCTTTACTCTTTAATTTGGACTATATGTTGTTATAATTATTATTTTTTAAATACAACTCATGTTCTTTTCATTTTTGAATAATAAAAAAAAATTGTGTGTTTTGGTTATGAATTATATTTGTTTTAGATATAATTTTGATGCAAAGATGATATATGTTCTTTGTACTTAAAAATTTAAAAACATGTTTTTTGTTTATGTTTTTTTGTTGCTTTTTGGATTCATGTTCATTCGTTTTGACTCATATGTTTATTAAGAATTTGTGTTCTTTTGTTTTAGTCTTAATTAAATTTATTTATTTTTAAAATTTAGTCTTTATATTCATTGGGTGCACAAATCAATAATTGGTAATACAAAGTAAATATACATTTTTTTTTTAATTAATTTAGCAAATATTATACTACATATTTACTAGAAAAGTTGACAATGAAAACTCACGTATTAAAAAATAAATTACAGTTGTTTTACTTTTATAAAATAAACCTAAGATATAGGTATAACATATTATATCATATGCATAATTATTTTGCTTTATTCTGTATTTCTGTTACATGCGAGCTTTCGTTGTACTTCACATTTCAAGTCAAACTTGTTACACAAACTCCCTCTATATATATATCTGCACAAACATAGAAATTCTTCATCCCAAACATTAATATCACTATAATTATGAATTATTACCTTAAACCAACATTAATTTTAGCCCTTTGGGCTACTACTTTTGTCATACTTTCTCTTCCAACTCCCTCACTACAACAACAATCTTCTTCATTTGAACAATCTTCATCAAATCGAACAAGTTCATCTTCATCATTTGATCAAAATGGCTCATCATTTGAACAATGGTCGTCCAATCGAAGTAGTTCTTCATCATTCAATCAAACTACAACGTTTCAAAAATCATCACCAGGAGGTGTAAGGCTTCAGAATGCATTCACTGCTCTGCAAGCATGGAAGAAAACTTTCACCTCTGACCCTTTCGGGTTTACCTCGAATTGGGTAGGCAACAATGTGTGCAGCTACCAAGGTGTATTCTGTGCACCAGCACCCGACAATGGTAATGTTATCACTGTTGCAGGAATCGATCTTAACCACGCCACAATCTCAGGTTCATTACCTGATAGACTCGACCTTTTACCTGACCTCGCGCTCCTTCACCTCAGCTCAAACAAATTTTCCGGTAATATCCCTTCCTTCCTTTCGCGGTGCAAGCTTCTCTTTGAGCTTGATTTAAGTAACAACTTGTTCCGTGGCCCTTTTCCTTCTGTTTTCCTAAATCTTCCATCTCTCAAATTCCTCGACATTCGTTACAATCAGTTCGAGGGTGTAATCCCTCCTCAACTCTTCAACTTAAAACTTGATGCTCTTTTTTTGAACAACAACCAATTCTCCTCACCCCTTCCTAGCACCATTGGAAACTCCCCTGTTTCCGTGCTCGTTGTGGCTAACAACAACCTTAAAGGGTGTTTCCCATCAGAAATTTCCAAAATGGGAAGAACCCTCGACGAAGTTATTCTCATGAACATAGGGCTAAAAGGTTGTTTACCTACAAGTATTGGGGGGTTGAACCAAGCAACCGTTTTCGACGTAAGCTCTAACGATCTAACAGGCACATTACCTGAAAGTATGGGAAGGATGCAGAGCTTAGAGCAGCTTAATGTTGCAAATAATAAATTTTATGGGGAAATTCCAAACAGCATTTGTGATTTGCCTAAGTTGGAAAACTTCACTTATGCTAATAATTACATTACTAAAGAACCGATTCAGTGCTTAATGATTATGGATAAAAATGATGAGAATAATTGTCTAGATTTTTGGTTGTCACAAAAATCTTCTACAGAGTGTAAGGCCTTCTTATCCCACCCTCCAAGTTGCAAATGTGTAGGAAGTCCCCCACCGCGGCCACCACCTCTGCCGCGACCATCACCACCTCCTACAAAATACAATGCTCCAAAAGTGCCGGTGCCTCCACGTCGAGCGCCCCCACCTCCGTCAAAAAATTATGCTCCATATGTACCCGTACCTCCTCGACGACCACCACCACCACCACCTGCGCCTAAATATACTCCTCCACATGTGTAACCACTAAATTTTGTGCATGTGTAATTACTACTGGTCCTGCAACCTAGCTTCAGCATGGTAGATGCGAAAAATTCGGTTTAAAATTTTTATTATTATCATTTGTTTTCAAATTTGTATTGTTTTGTTATGGAAGAGAAATGTGTTGAATTAAATTGACCTTGACCAAATAGAATATTAGTGAGCATATGTAATAAAATGAAAGTCAATGTGCCAATATTAATGTTATTTATTAGCAATACTTCTTTGGGCCATGTAATTGTATTATTTTCATGTGTTGTTATATTTAATAAATTGGACTATATAACCTCAAATGTTATTTTATAGAACACCATTTTGGATCTTCTGAGGAATATTTAATTTCTTGCTTATTTAATTATTTAGAATCTGAGTTTTAGATCATTTCATCTATATATAATTAGAACTCCTTATCATATTTAATTTGATGCATGCATTAATATATATATATGGATGTCCAACAAGATTATTTATAGGTTAATAATGTTGTTATTCTATGATTGGATTTTTGTTGTTATTAATGAAACTATGATAAGTGCCTTAGTATATATTTTTATCATTTGATGAGAGCATTTTGATAAAAGTAAATCGAATGTGTCTTGCTATTTGATCCAAATTATGTTACTTTGCTTCTACTAAATACATATCAAACACGACTAGGAATTTATCTTTGTAAATGTATTACTCCATTAAAACTCCATAGTACAGGCCCAATCATACACCCTTACAGTCTAAATTTAATACTTCGTATAATTATCACGTAATTAAGTCCGTCTAAGGGCCTGTTCACATTAACTGAACTGAACTGATTGGAGCTGAACTGAACTGATTGGAGCTGAACTAAACTGAACTGAACTAAACTGAAATTAAGTAAATTTAAACAGGCCCTAATACAGGCTTTTTGCAGCAAAATTAAGAGCTGAACTGAACTAAACTAATTGGAGCTGAATTGAACTGAACTGAACTGAACTGAAATTAAGTAAATGTGAACAGGCCCTGATACAGGCTTTTTGCAGCACAACACACATAAATTAGGCTGTTCATTATCCCCTTTATTCATATACTGAACAATGATATTAGTATGTAAAATCAGGGGTAGAAATACAAAAGTCATACATTAGGGGAGTTTCAATTGCTACAACACTCAATCATAAACTAGGAATTAAAAGTTGTTCAGAATCTAATACAATTAGATCAGAATGTTTCCTGACTCTAATCCTAAAAATTGCAGGGGATCCCAACAAAAAAGGACTGATCCTGCAACGTAGAGTGAGCAGCGACTCTAGGAGCTCGAGTAAAATGCTCAACCAAGCTGAACAAGATATATTTCACAAGACTGCCTCAGTTTTTCGTAGCTGTAGGTCTCAAGCAGCCACAGAAACGGGGTTTCTTTTGCTTTTTATTCTTGCGCACGCGACTGTAAAAAAACTCCCTCAACACAACTGATGCACTGCTTCTGGAACCATTCTCTTTGCCTTTGCTCTTCTTTTCGTCCTTCAGCCTCTGCAGCACGTACTGCATTCTCTGCATCTCTACCTCCAATTTCCCAATATTTTCTGCCTCCTTCCGTACTTGCTCCGAGACTCTCTTTTGCCAGGTACTCTCAGCCTCTTCTGATATTCTCTCACCCCTCACCTCTGTAGTGACTGAGCGTTCCTCGATGCACCTAATCAACTCAGCATTGACATCCATTAAGTGGACGACAGAATTCTCCACATCCTGTAATTGCCCCCTGAAAGTGTCGTAATCAGCATCTTCACCTTTCTTCCTTCTCTTCTTTGGCTCCATTGTTTTCTTTAATTCTTGGACCGAAACCTGTAAGCCTGTCAACTTCTGTGCATCAGAAGAAAGTCTCTCCAAAACCTTTTTCTTCGTTCCTTTTCTAGTCAACTGAGCACCTCTATTTGACAGTTCTAGCCTATCAACTCCTAATTCTTTCTCAAATTGTGATTCCGGAGTCGGATTCAAACTAGATTGGTTCACAATTTCATCGTCGATGGTATCAGTTCCTTGTTCGAGCACTTCACCGATCACTTGATCATGGCAGCTATCTTCTTCTGCAGCTTCCCATAGCCCAAGCATCTGATCATCAGATACAGCACTGCCTCTCTTACTGACGCTCTGGAATGAACGGCCTGATGCTTGGTCAAGAGGTATATCCTTCATCTCTTCCCCACTTCTGATTTCACAAGTTTCCGATATGGATACCCGGCCACTGCGCCGATGCTCCTCCTGGTAGTGAGAGTTAATTCTTGATTTTAGTTCTTTAATCTCTTTAAATGCAGCTTCAAGTCTGACATTGTTATTTGATTTTTCCTGCATGGCAACCAATTCCTTTTCTTTTTGCAATATGTCTTCTATCACCTTGATTCTGTCCTGCAGTTTCCGCAGCTCAAAATAGCTACTTGAAGATGCTGAACTTTCCTCTGTCTGGTCCAAAATTCCCTGCATACAAGAATACAAATTAATGCAATTTCGACATGCATATTTTAATGTACAACAAGGAATTGCTTGATTACATGACACTAATGTATGAATATCATTCATAGTATTGTACGCTCATCGTCTTGAATAACAACCAATTACAGATAACTGCACATCCCAAATGAATAGGCCATGCACTTCAAAGCATTTAATGCACTACTTCCGTTTTCTAATGTTTCTAACATTCACTGTTTGCTAATTAAGGCAAAGGAGAGAGAATAAAAAATTGAGTAGTGTAGAGGAAAAAAAAAATATTGGATAAAGTCAGAGAATGGAAATGGTGAGTGGGTGTAAGAGAGTGAGTGAAAAGGTGTAAATATTATGAGGTAAGAGGGGAAATGTAGTAATAGAAATTTGTCATAATGTAATAAAGTAGATATGTTAAAAACATCATGAAATGGACAAAAATGAAACATATTCAAAACACTATGAAACTGAGGTAGTATATTTTTATTTGTGTCTTTTCTATTGACTTCACTCTATTACCTATCAATTGTCCCATAAATAAACTAGACAGGTTACATAGACAAAAATAATTTGTAGTATCAAATAATAAATTTCATGAAAGTTTGATAGTTTGTAAACAAAATATGACAGGAATTGTTTGAAAAAGAGTTTCCAACAATGAGATGATAAATATAGATGTTTTTAAGTCAAAGGCCAAAGATTTTGGTCAAAAAAGAATAATAGCAGAATTGAAAACTATAATAGTTTTTGAACAATAGAGGCCTATTCGTAGTTAGCTTGTGTCTACTGTCAGTACAATCAATGTTGGAATATTAGGCAGATATTACATCAGTATCAGTGTACTTGTACATCAATCCAGCAATTTGCAACATGCATTCTATTCCTAGACAGCCAACATAAACAATTAAAAATTAAACAAAAAAAAATGAATATATTGCAATTTGATAAATCTTAATTTTATAACCTCGCTACAATACCAGTTACCTATTTGATAAACCTTAATTTTATTTATATTACTTAACAAAAAAACGCCAATCATAAGCTACAAGAGACCCCATTAAGCAGTTAAGCAACAAAACTTGATTAAAAAATGTTATAACAAATTTAGGATTATTAAGACATGGTTAATATAAGTATAACAAAACATAAAAAATAAGGGAGGGAATAAGATCATTACTTGTGTTTCTGTAGTGGAAGCAGTATGTAGCTTAGACTGCATGAGTGGATTTTTCTCGAGCAACGCAACGCTATCCTTAAGAGAGGCTATAAGTGGTAGGCATGTAGTAAGCTGGGATCTGAGAGCCTCGGCTTCACTTTCAAGTGAGGTAACTCTTTGTTTCATAGTCTCGACCTCCAAACTTCTTTGATTGCTTACATCTTCAAGGCACACACATAAGCTGCTCAGATCATGAACCTTGTTCTCAAACAGAACTTCGCGTACAGAAGAAATCTGGAGATCAAAATAGAAGGAATCTGCCTCAGCCTCCCAGAGTTCAAATTCATTACTTCTTTCATGCAGCTCTGAGGCCAAGATCACTTCTCTTATCTTATATTCTTCTATCTCTTCATGTAGCTTGCCTACTTCAGACTCCAAGTTTCCATTAGCATCACGAAGAGAAACAATTTCCTTCTCCTGATATTTGTTATCTTTGGAGAGTTCATCCATCTGTTGCTGTAAAACTGTCCTTGTAACTTCTAAATTTTCACAATCCTTTTCAAGATACTGAACAGTACAGCACAATTCTGCATTTACATCATCTGCTGCTTGAAGCTTTAACTCAAATTCTGAAAGTTCTCTATCTTTTTGGTTTACCAACTCCCTCTCATCAGAAATTTCATGTCTCAACTGATCATTACGAGCACTGAGTTCAAGTTGCATATCCTCCAACTCCTTCATCGATGCTTTCAGGGCCACATTCTCCATTTCCTTAACTAACAGATTTTCCTCCAATTTTATGGATTTACTTTCAAGATCCTTGAAAGCTTTTCCCAGGGAATTCATCTCTTCGAAAACTTCCTCCAACTTCCAAGATTTCTCAATACCATAGCTCTTCAAGATCATAGACTGATAATTGAAAGCTAGGGCCTCAACAATGATGTAACTACTTTCCTCTTCTAAGATGTTCTTTTCCATCTTAATGTGCGATAACTCCTCCTGCAAACACCTGTTTTCGTCGAAAACAGACAGATTTTCCTCCTCGAGTGAAACATATGCACCTTGTAGTTGTGTTTGCTTCACATGTAAGTCCTCCACCTTAGCGTTCAAGGCTTCTTCCCGTTTCTCTCTCTCATCTAATTCCATACTCAGCTGCCTGCTCCTCTCCAGAAGTTGACGTTTCTCGTCTTCAACCACCACAAGTTTTTGAGCCAATGTTTGAGACTCCTGCTCAAGAACGATCTTCCTGGATGAAAGTTCTGCACATTCAATATTCAGCTGCCCGAGTATTGTTGTCAGAATGGATTTCTCAAACAATATCTTCTGATTCTCATCCTTGCTTTCTGACAAGGAGTGTTTGATGTTTCGAATACTGGCAAGTATACATGGAACAAAACTTTGCTCGGCTTCAATTTCACTGCCATATTTGATCTCAAGTGCCTTCAGAACTTGATTGATTCCTGTCCTCAGCGCTCCGATTTTGTCCAACAAGAACTCAGCTTCCACTTCTTGAATCATGTTCTCACTCTCTAGTTCTGTAATCAGCTTCTCGGAAGCTTTATTAGCTTCAATATGTCTCTGGCACTCAATCAGAAGCGAGTAGTTTTTGTCTTCCATATCTTGAATAAATTTCTGCAAAATGAAAATCTCAACCTGAGCATTGACAGCTTTCTCTAGCTCCTCCTCAAATTCCTTCTTCCTATACTTGTTTTCTTCTTGCAGATCATGGATGCGGCCCTCCAGTCCTGATAACCTTGATTCACTTGTCAGCACAAGACTTGCACGTTCTTGCTTTTCAAAATCAAGTGAAATCCTTAATTCATCTACTTGACTAAGCGTCGATTTTTTCTTCTTTTCAAGATCCATGTATTTGTCTTCTAAGTTTGTGAATCTTATTTCCAACTTCTCCAGCTTCTGCTCCACAATCTCCAGCCGAGAAACCAGGCCACTTCTCTCATCCAGAAGATTAGATTTTTCACTAGAGAGTAGCTGGCAAAAATCCTCCAAGCCCTTTGATTTAGCTCGTAAACCTTCCAGCTCAGCATTCGCACTTGAGAAGGAATTATGCAACAAGGTGTTTTTCTCCAAGAGACTCTGCATAGTTGTAGTGATTGATTGTAACTGGGAAAGAAGGGAAGATTTTTCAGCAACCATGGATGACTTGTCTTCATTAAGGTCATGGCAAGATTCCTTCAGAGCCTGCGCCTTCTCCTTGGATCTTTGCAGCTCGGCATTTACCTCCAACAATAAGGATTCCAAATCTGCATTTTTTTTAAGAAGCTCTTCCATGTCTTGCAACTTTTTTACAAGAGCTTCTCTATCATTCATATCCTTTATAGACAAATCCTTAAGCCTCGAATTCTCATCTTGCAAGTCCTTGACTGATGAAGCAAAGCATTCTGGATCTAGACCAACAGACTGCACTTGTAACATGAGAGTTTGATATCTCTTATACAAGCCCTCGATTTCTTCTTTTAAATTGTGAACCTGAAACTGAAGAGCATCACTTTGATCAGCTTGATGTTTAACCTCGGCTTCAAGTTTTTCTTTGACTTCTTTTAGTCTCAACATCTCGTCATGGAGACTGTTTTGTGATATAGAGGAGGAAGAATTCAAATCATTCAGGGTTTGGTTTTCATCCTTCAGTCGTCGAACCTCTTCTTCGAGATCCTGTTTGCATATCTCAAGGTCATTCATCATTTGGAGCCCATTTTTGAGTTCCGATGTAAGAGCATTCTGCTTGTCTTGGGATTGAGCGTGTAGATCCTGAAGACTATGTAGAGTAGCTTCTACTTGAACAAATCGAGAGTGTTCCTCTTGTAAGTTGGTCTTCAATTTTTCCAATTCAGTCTCCTTTTCTGAAAGTATATGGTCTGCTGCTGCTATTTTCATCACTAACTTTTGTGCTTCTGACTGTAAAGTTTCATTCATTTTGTCCAACAGATCACACTTATCCTCAGCACCCCTCAGTTTAGCAGTATTCAGCAACATCTGGGAATTAAGCCGAATATTATCTGCCTGAGCTTCCCTCAACTCAAGCTGTAGCTTAGAGATAGTTTCCAAGCTCTGTTTGTAACGAAGAGCAACTTCATCTCTCTCTCCAATCACTCTGCCAACTTCCTCCTTCAAGGACTTTACTTCACTCTCAGCCTTTTCTGACTGCACACTGAGTAGTTTCAAGCTCTCCAATGCTTCAGCAAGTCTTTTCTCTAGAGCAGCTATTTTTTCTAGACACTCTTTGTACTGAAGCTCAGCAGCTTCTTTCTCAGCTTGTAATGTTGCAAGCTCTTGCTTTAAATTTTGACATTCATGTTCTGCTTCAGCAGCCCGCTCAGTCAAACCCTTTGAATCGTCCCAAGCTTGAGAAAGTGAACTTTCAACAGCAGCTAGATTTTCTGAAACTTGTCTGTATTGCACAAGACTTGAATCTCGTTCAGCTTCCATTTTTGTTAGGGCTTCTCTCAATGCTTGAATCTCGACATTAGCTTCAGACACTATCCCATCAATATCTCCAGAACTTTTTTGGGCATGATTAAGATCTTTTTCCAAACTAGATATGTTATCCAGAATCTGCTGGTACTGAAGGAATATAGAATCTCTTTCAGCTTCAAGCTCAGCAATGGTCTGCCTCAAGTTTTCCAGTTCACTTTCAGCTCTACTTGCTCGCTCAGATTCATTAAGAACCTGGCTCTTCAACTTCTGATTCTCCTTAGTTAACTGAGATAAAATGCCACCTGAACTCCTCTCTTTCGTTCCACTTTCTTGCCAATTTTGGCCACCTTCAGGCCTACTATCAGCAGTACTTGACTCTTCTGGCCCAACTTCAGCTGAACGGAACATATCATTAAGCTGTTTCAGACCCTTCCTGCTGGTTCCACTGCCTTGTGAACTGGAAGCTGAGTGCCCCTTAAAATTATCGGAATCAAATGTAGTCCGAATTGGATGTGTTTCAGAAGTCTCTGACTCAGAACTCGAGGCTGCATCATCAGCTAGTGCAAATGGTAATTGGTCAGGAAAAGCTTGTGCCATTGTTCTATGGGCATGGCGGAGCTCTCCAGTGGCATGGTTATATCTTTCAGCCAATGCACGATAAGCTCTGTAGAATTCTTCAACCAGTTTCATAAGCTCAGGTCGCTTTTTATAGTACATCTCAGCCCTCCTAGCAAATGAATCAGCATCCTCTTCTATGAGCTTAATCATTGCTTTTACTTTGGAATCCATATCTGCCCAAAAAAAAAGGAACGTGACTTAGACAAATGATTGGTGATAAAAGTAACTACCAAACCTTTATGATCCATCCGTTAATGCAACAAATCAGCATAGAAACAAGAATATTCATGGACGACACATTTTAAATCAAAATTAAGTAGATATTATGCAAGTCTACATGAGTTTACAAGATATTGCTTGCTTCATTTTCTACAAGAATATAAGATAGCTGCATATCTCACAATACTAACTACCTCTGTTTCTGAATGATTTTAACACTTCTCTTTTCGGTCTGTATCTAAAAGCTCTTAACATTAGCAGTTTGTTACTTTTGGCAAATACATTTTACCCTCTTACCACCCCCCCCCCCTACCCCACAATATCTACACCTTTTCAATTTCTCTTAATTTATCTATCTTTTCCATATACCAACTTTTTTACACTCTCTCTTACTTTACCACCTCTTTTTCACCACATCAACACTGTCTCTCCTATTATGTTAATATTTGCACAAACTAGTATATGTTACTTGTAACATCTAAGAGATATGGAGGATACGCAGTATTTCCTTTGATTCAAAATAATTATTTTATTTGACTAGCATGATTGACAACGCACAACTTTGCCCATGGTATCATGACTAAATACATTTGACTACAGTAGATAACAATTACTCCGTACTAAAGTATGTGGTTAAGGACCTTAAGGTCCGGATATATATATATATATATATATATATATATATATATATATATATTGCAAAACTAAAAGTGCAGCTATTATTTCAAAATAAAGGAAGTACTTTTCATCAGAATTACCAATATTGATAACAACATATGCTCACACACTTAAATCATTTAGAGATGATGTAAAATTAGTTACCATAGCTTCTGAAATGCCAGTTCTACAAAACCAGGAGATTTTCACAACTAAAATAGTAAGATTTCACATTTCACGAACCACGAGCCTTGAAGATTTTGAAATTACCAGTGAACCACATGATTTTGAATTGAGGTTCAAATACAGTTTTAAAATTAAAAATCTCAATGCTTTTCAAACCAAACATGATAGAAGGCATCACAACCGGACCAAAACAAAAGAAACACAATAACAGACTCGATGAATCAACAAGCATGTCAAAAGTTAATACAACATATTTTACTTTTGATTAACTTCAAGCTAGAAAAATGAAAAAACAATCAAATGCAGAAAACAAAAACAATGTCAAAAAAAAATCATATTTGAGCATTTTTTAAGAGAATAGTTACCTTTAAGATTTTCCTGAAGCCATTTAGAGTTCTTGGGGCTAACATGGCTATCCCACCACCACGAATACAACCGCCTCGACTCTGAATGCAATAGAGTCCCCATGACTGCTGCCAGAAGCAGCCAAGCAGCGGGTTTCGACCTTGCTAGAGGCTGGTCTCCACACCAGTAATGAAGGTTTTCCCAGGCCAGAATACCAGGAAACAATTAACCCTTACACTCCCAAAGTAAATTACACCACTTCCAACTTCCAAACCATACTTTTCAACCTACAATGCGAAAAGTAAACTAATTAACTTGCTATAAATCCAATTCACACATTAAGAAATTTCTTCCTCTGTTACTCGGAATGTTCATTTTATCTCACGTACCCGCATCAGATACTCAACACTCGTACATAGCCAAATTACTTAACCCTTCATTTTTTACCAAATCCATTGATAACCTTGACAAAATAGCCCAGTTTGACACTTGAACACGTACCACATGGTGGTCGAGTCCAAGCAACGTAGATTTCAATTTTTGATTAATTTCAATTTGAATCAATATCAACCCATAAAATTGATATCCAATTAGGATCTTCAAAAATCAACCCAAAAAAAAATCCAAAAAATTTGCAAAACTATAACCAACCCATTAATCTAAATCATGACAAAGATACATTAATGAAATCATCATGAATCAACCACAAAAAACACCCAAAAAAAAATGAAATAATGAAGGTTTACAATAAAGTTTTTGAATGAGCATAAAAATAAAAACTTACCAAACATTAATTAAACACAACCAACTGCTAAAACTTGTGGATTAGCAGCAAAGAAAGGGTACTAAAACCCAGCTGCATTTCAAAACCATTCATCCCATTTACATAACTTTTTCTCTCTCTAGTTTCTCTCTCTAAGTCTAGGTTTGTTTCTCTCTCTCTCCAATGAGAGTGAGTTGAAGTTTTAAGTCCAATGATGCACTGGTAAGTGTCAGAGATGGAGGAGAGAGAAAGAGAAGGTAACGTACATTATAACTTAAAAAAGTTAAATTAATTGTCGGCATTTTAAAAAAAAAAAAAAAAAAAAGTTGAAGGGTAGGAGAAATTATTGCACATGTGATTAAGTCAGAAATCGGAATTTACTGTATATAGGTGTATAAACATATACCAAATCGTGTATGTCCTACTGTACCATTTTAAGACAATGGCTAAATGTTTAAAATTAATAAAGCCGTATAGGTAGAGGTCACTATTGGGTCGGTTGACTAGGACTATTTGAGTAATCCTAATTTATTTACCTATCTTGTATGGTCGTATGTGGATTAAATAAGTTTCAATTGAATCAAATTGAAATAAAAATAAGTTAAGATTAGTCAAATAAGTAAAAATAAGGTGCACTAAAAGTGTATTCGACTTGTTTTTAAAGTACTTGATACTACTTGATCCAAATTATGAAAAAATCTCTATCAATAATTGATTTTGTTATTAATTATAAAAAAATCTCTAATTATAATTGTTTTTGTCATTAATGACAGTAATAGGTGTTAATATTTTAGGATGAAGTATCTACGAATAATTAATTTTAGGGTAATGATATTCTACGTATGTATCCCTTAGCTATATTACTACCTCCGTTACATATTATTTGCAACGATCCTCTATACTTTATGTCAAATTGTTGCAAATAATTAATATGTAGCGGATGTAGTATAAGCATTAATTATACTTCTTAAAATGAAATTAAGTTTATAATTCGTGACAAAATCACGAACAATTCGGTGTAATTAATGTTAATTAGTCCTAAATATTTCCTTATTTAGTTTCTTATATATAGCTCTTAGGACTATGCTTATCATTTTCCTTAATTTAATCATTGATGATAATAACTAGTGTTCAGTATTACCTTTAGACCTCATAGTTGTATAGGCGTTGTACTAACATAATATCTAAAAGTAACATTAGTCTTGTTATGATTTTTTTTGGTATTTCACCCGGTTCACCCTATGGGTTAATTCAGATTTGTGGCTCAGTTAAGAGTGATTATGAAGTTTATTTCAATTCCCTCTCAAGACATGTTCTCTTTAGCTTAATTTCTGTTCAGTTCAGCTCCAATCAGTTCAGTTCAGTTCAGTACCTAATTTTATTCTCTCATAAACAATTCGTTTTAGTTCAGCTCCAATCAGTTCGGTTCAGTTCATCTTAGTTCAGTAAATCAGAACAAGCCTTCAATTGTTATTGTATGGAATCGAACAGACGATTCTTCCTACCAAGTACAGCCTCAATCACCATTGTATCAATAGCCAATTGGTTTTGTTATTGTCATAAGTGACAACAGAAATAATTGTTAGTAAGATATTTCTTCAAATTGTTATTGTTGCTTGAATTCTCATCCACCAACCAAATTTAAATAGACCTACATTAATCCATCTTTATTTACTACATACTTGTTAAATATATAAACATATCATTGTTATTTGAAACATGAAAAAAAAAATAGACAATTTTGTAACATATTATAGGTCAACTTAATTAATTATAAACACATGCGGAGTATAATAACGTGTAAAATGACACCAAACTAATCTATTCTTCTCGGAATACTTTTACATCTAGATCTTGTTTTTGCTCGAACCCCTCAAATTATAATCATATATGACACAATATTTAATCCTTTTCAATTTAATTGTCACAATTCACCTTAACATAAATTTGAAACATTAATAATTAGGAAATAAATGTGAAAAATAATCAATTTCATTTGAGATAATAACTAACGAGTATAAAAATGTGTCAACTATTTCAAAACATGAGAAATATTCCGTAAGAATTTATGGTAAATTATCATAATTATCTCATCAATCGTTAGCAAGCTAGTATATTTGTCGTGTATGTAACCTTGCTCCTATGAAAAGAACAGGATAAGTAGTTTTTTATTTTGATGTCTCTTTTGTCCTTTCCAAAACAGTACGGTACACCGCTTGATGTGATGATTCAGTGAGCTACAAAACATTAGTTAATCATAGCTAGAATGCCTAATCTAACCTTGCTTTCTTGAAGATGTTTCTCTTTGGGTTTGGCAAATGCAAATACTTTATGTTAAGGCAAAAGCATACTATAATTTAGTTATTTACCATTTCTTGCTCCTTGTTTAATGGAGTTAGCATATCCATAAAGTAAAAATGAATTCTGGATTATATCATGGATTATTATTGCTTTATACCATTAAATCTGCATCTTGAATTGACCTTAACCTAAATTTCACCACACTCCATTTGTGATTTGTGTTGCTCCCAAGGTAAGGTTAATTGTTTTGGATGCTAATGGACTAATTACATGGTGCGTATATCCTTAAGACCTTAATTTTTGTTTGAGACATTAATGTTAATTAATGTGGTAATTGAGAGAAAGGTTTATGAGGAATATTCAATTGAATATGTCATGAAATAAAAGTAAATACATGTGTAAGATTGATTTTTGACGTACGAATAGAGAAATAGCTACAAGTGACAATGATACAGACATGATTTGATCTCAGGTGTTGAATATTATTCCAAAAAACTTTAACCAATTAAAATAATTGACATCCGCACACAACTAAATTGGTAACAAAAATGATTTACTAATAACAGCTCTATTATTACAATACACCATTCAGCACAAGACTGATGACCTGATCCAAAATATTCACAGGCCTTGATTGAAAATATGCATACACATAAATACATAATAATAGTAAATGTGTATGCATATTTACAATCCCTTGAGAAAATGCACATTATTAAACCAAAATTTTGTCCAATAATCCGATTACCCCTTTTAAATATGCTTTGTGTAAATATTAAATCAAGTTTTAGCTTGCCAAAGAGCTAAACTAAATACGACTAATAATATGATTAATTCGGAAATACTAGTTGTAAATCTTGATGAAAAGATTAGCCCTTTGAAAGATAAATATGTATAGTTGAGCAATAATTCGTATTATGGTTGATTGGTTTGTAATTAATTGAATATTGTGTGTTAGTTGATTAGTTGGTTAGTCATTATTGATCTCTCTTAGCTTCTACCAACTAGATTGATGTTTCTAGCAAGACTTCAAATCTTTTCTTTTGTTACTAATTGCAACACTTTGCAAGTGTTACAAAGCTGATAATGATGAGGTTGCTAGCTAATAATTAACTAGAAGACATTATATATTTATATGTTGTCAATTTGGTAAATATGAAGTAAGGAGTATATAAATTAAAAACATACTACGTATATAGTTATATACATACTCCTTAGTCCTAACATCCTTAGTACTCCGTATTATAATGGTATAACAAGATGTCACAAAATTGGATAGCCCCAAAGGTCGAATTCATTTGACCCAAACTCAAAATGTACACAAAACTTGATGACTCAAATTTTTACTCTGATCAAAGATCATTAAACCTTAAGCCAAATTGCCAATTGTATTCAATGACTGAAATATATTTTCTCAACATTTATATAAGTAATTAACTATAAATTTGAAACTAAAAAAGAAGATTATCAACTCCTTTCAATTAAAAATTACAGCTTCCAAAGCTTAACCGTGTGGCCAACTATATATCATGGGGTTACTTTGTTAGTGTTATAAGAGTTACTCGATCAGTGTTACAAGGATTACTCGGTAAGTGTTATAGGGGTTACCCGATTAGTGTTACTCGGTTAGTGTTCAGGGGTTATTCGATCAATATTACAAGGATTACTCATTCAGTGTTGTAGTGGTTACTTAGTCAGTGTTACAGGGGTTTCTTTATTCTTTTACAAGCAATTACATGGTGTGGCCTACCGCACACAAAACACGCTGAGACTAAAATGAATGAAAGTATTCTCATTATATTACTAATTAATCTAATGCTACTACTAGTAAAGTACTCCCATAGCCAATTACAGTTTAATGGATCAAATTTTTAAAAAGTTGACTATAAATTATCACATATATAAGTTCACGAAATTTTGAAATAAAAATATTTATGTCCTTAATTACATCTTGGAGATTGTTAAAAGTCAAATGAGACAACCTTTAATGGACAAAAGCAAATACACTATTTGATGTTACTCTTCACCATAGTGAGTTGCCATATGCTTTAAGCACACTCACCACGGCCACACACCATCGACAATATTTCTGTCTTCCGCTTGATGTCATCATCAAACAACACGTACACCTTTGATAAAATATTTGAAAGACAACTCAAGAATCATATATACTATCATATATTATGATCATATAAATTAGACCACCCACCAACTCTTAAAGACAACCTTTGTGAATGAAATCTTTTAAAGTGTTAATAGAATAAAGTAGAGTAAAAAGGTGAACACTTTCAAATGGATCTTCAAAAATATGAGAAAAAAAAAAAATGTGTACATTTGTTAGTGATGATCGGATCTAAGTTTTGTTTGCAATTTTAAATGTCAAAGTTATAATTAGCCAGCTTTTATAGGACATGACTACATCATTCCAAAAGGTGGAATGATCGTTCAAGGAAGATATGGAATTATGAGGAGTTGTTGGTTTTATTGATTATTTAGGTTTTAATTGTTTCTTTTTGCTATAAAGTCAAGAGATTGTGTGAACATCTTGCCTATCGTTTATCATGTTAGGAACCTATAAGTGGAAGGGGTAAAAGCATATGGCCCTTATATGACCCCATCCATGTGATGATGTTTCTTATTACTCACATGAGCATAGGCTTGAGAAGTTATTATCCGTTTGGTTGGCAATAATATATGATGGTAATGACGTGGAATTTGAAATGTGGTTCGTAAGAAAAATGAGAAACATTATGTTATATTGGTTTTGAGTTCGGTGCAGTGAGCAACACCTGTCATATTTAAATGCATTGATTACCTTATAAATATGTATACTTGGTGTTAATTTGGATTTGAGAAATAGAAATGTATGACGCATTGCACATATTCCAAAAGTTGGTGTGGTTTTAACTACTATTCATAGGTGGTGCTACTAATCGACAATCTTATGAGGAGGGGAAGGGGTTATTGGGGTTTAATTTTTAGGGTTGGGGGAAAGATTTTTGGGGGAGGAGAGGGTGGGGGAGGTGCATAGAGTGGTGGTGGGGGGGGGGGGAGGTGTGATGAATGGTGAGTTGGCTGGGTGGTGGCTTAAAAATGTGGAAAGTGAAGGAAATAGGTGTTTTTGTGGTGGTGGGACTGATGACTTATTTTCCTTTTTCTTATCGGGTCGGGTCTTAATATAATTTCTCATGCCCTTACCTGTAAAAAAAGCAGCATATTCTTAGGTGCACACTCATGCACCTAGAAATAGGTGTAACAATAGCACAATGTGAGCATTAGCTTTTCAAAAAGTGAACATAGGCATAAAAAATATGAACATTATCTTTTCAGAAAGTGAACATAGGCATAAAAATGTATGATTTTCGATTTCTTATGTGGTGACTTTGTGATTAACTTCGATTAATTAGGTTATACTACCTCCGTTAACATTTAGTTGCAACTTTGGGGTATTATTTGAGAGACATAAAATATTCCAAAGTTACAACTAAATATTAACGGAAGTAGTATATGATTTTCTTAATTCTAATGAATTGAATTTTATCTGATTTACTGCATTTTTTTTTATCAATGAACATAATCAGGAAAAATATGAACATATGCATAGGTTCCCTTAAATGTGAACATTAGCTTTGTAAAAAGTGAACATAGGCATAAAAAAATATGAACTTATGCATTTCAGAAAGTGAACATAACATTTCAAAATATGAACGTAAGCATTGGTTTCTTAAAGTGGATATAAGCATTTAAAAGGTGAACATATACTTAAAAAAAATATTAACATAAACATTTAAGAAAGACAACATATGCATAAACAGATTTAATTAATATTTCATGAACACCACATATTTACATTATGAATATTTGAAATTATATATGAACATATAAATATTATTATGAATATAAATCATTTAATTATGAACATAAAAATTTGAAGAAATAAAAAATAATATGATTGTGAAACATATGCATTATAAGTATTAAATGTTCATTGTTTATTATTAAATGTTCATTTTTTATTATTAAATGTTCATTTTTTTCATGTTCATATACTTTTACTAATGTTCATTTTCTAGAGCGTAGTGTTGATTTTGGCGGATCGCAGATATGTTGTCTGGGTTATTAATTTGGGCCGCGCGTTTTGGGTCTTCCCTTGTTGCACCTATCTTAGGATGCACCTAAGACCAATTGAAAAAAAGTAGCGAGCTTTTTGAGCTTTTATGGGCAAGTTCGGATTTTTAACTAAAAAAAGTGGTTTTAAGCTTGTCCAAACCCACCAATATTTTTAGACCGGATCGGGCGGAGCTAGCAAGCTAGGCCAATGTTGATCAAATGATCACCTCTACTTTTACTTAGGGTAAAATTATCTTTTGCTTCTCATTTTTTATCCTCGATTCTTATGTCTGCCTCCCTAGTTATTGAAAAGGGATTTAAATCCTTAATCCATCAATTATCTCCACAAACTGACAAAAAAATGGGCTATTAAGATGAGTATCGTGAGTAAGGAAAAACATGGGTCCACACCCACAATGGGCAGATGTAACAAATAGAGGAAAGTGAGATACTACCTCTGCTACAGGTTATGCGCAACGATTTGACATAAAACAAAGAGAGAAAATGTCTAATCGTTGCACATAATCTGTAACGGAGGTAGTATATAAAAAATCATTGGAGACGTGTTGATGCACTTACTAGTTCATCCTTGTGCACGAACTAGGGCTGAAAGTAATTCGGATTAAAATCGAACCGAACCGAAAACCAAACCGAATTACTAATTCGGTTTGGATTTTTTAAGAATTCGGATTGGATCGGATTGAAAAAATTGAAAAATATGGATTACGGATTGGATTCGGTTTGGGGTTTAAAAAAACCAAAAACCGAATGACAAACCGAATTCCGACCCAATACTTTAAGCCCATTTTCTTTTCAAAGTATCCAACCACTTTCCCCTTTCATATATAAACTTTAAAAAAGAACCTAATTCTCAATTCTCCTTTCTCAATAGCTTACTCTCTTACAAAGAATATGTAGGAATTTTCAGGGTGAAGTTCGAGTTTTGGATTTGAATGTTGCAAAAGAAGGGAACAAATTTCGGTTTAGGATTAGATTCTAATTTGAAAAACCGAATTAATTCGGTTTGGATTGGATTGGATTGAACCTTAATTCGGTTTGGATTCGGATTGAGATTTCCGAAACCGAATTAATTCGGATTGGATTCAGTTTTGGTTATAATCCAAACCACAAACCGAACTTTCACCTCGAACAACTTATCACACAATTTTGGGATTTTAAATTACTATTATGATTGGTAATTACTCATAGAAACTATTCTTGATTGTCATTCACCTAAAAAAAAGTGACTTGCAAATGGAAAGTACAACAAGGTAGCAACAACAATAAAAGAATGAACAGAAAACCTCCAATCAGCCCAACAGTTAGCAAAGAATTAAATCAACACTGTGAAAAAAACAAAGGTAATAAGACTAGAACCATTAGTTAGCCACAAAAAACAGCCTTGTCATTGTCGTAGGCCATATTAATGGAATAAGGATTTGAAATATGGATCTTGATTCTTGAGGTCCTCCTCCAAGGATAGCCAAGTGATGGGCAAGTGTTGATAGCTAGTAAAGTCATGTGCAAACACTATTGGCCTTCTCTCTTTTTGTAGGAAAATACAAAGGGGATAATCAGATCGTTCGGATTGGGTTTATATATGATCAATTCAGTTGGGGTCATGTTTGAACTAAAATTGCCAGGGTTAAATATCATTTTCGTTTATATTTGTCTATATGCTTATTAATAAGTTAATTAGTGAAGTATTAGACACATTGGTACTTGGTTCGGATCAAATTGAGTCAAAATAAAGTTAAAGTAATTTTAAGTAGAGGTTGGGTGTTTTGGTTGGATAATCGAATATGGGTCGTTTTTGTAGTGTTTTTTTTTTTTAGACTTATATAATTCTCACTATCCAAATTGATATGTCAACTTTTTATCTTGAGGTATCAAAGCTGATTATTATACATATCTACTAATATTGTCTACAATAAAACAATCTCGTCCCTAAAAATAAAGTTAAAGTAATTTTAAGTAGAGTTTGGGTGTTTTGGTTGGATAATCGAATATGGGTCTTTTTTTTTTAGACTTATATAATTCTCACTATCCAAATTGATATGTCAACTTTTTATCTTGAGGTATCAAAGCTGATTATTATACATATCTACTAATATTGTCTACAATAAAACAATCTCGTCCCTAAACTTGTATCTTTCTCTATAAATATGTCCATTACCTCCCGGTACAATAATATATATCACCCCACGGCATAAATGGTAATTGATGGTAATGCAAGTTTTAAATGAAAGTAATTCATTTTGGATTCAAACTGGCCAATACTATTTACATCAAAATAAAGGCAAAAATGTAAAATCAGATCCAGATGAAGGAAATTTGCATCAAACAAAGGTAAAGTCACTCAATCACATACCTCTCCCATTTATAGTTTCTAGAACTTCACAATTTGTTACAATAGAAATTTGAGGAATATAGTTGGTATTCCTTACATTAGTCCCATACATTGTTTAGTGGAAATCGGAAAATTGATCCTCATAACATGTGATACGGCCACCAGAAAAATTCCTATTTACTTATATTGGGCAATACAATACTTGGAGATTTTAGGCTGCCTTTAAAAGCCAACCTGTTTTAGGTGTTACCATTACAATTGAGGACTTTTTTGAACCAAGTATGAAAAAAACCAAACCTTAAGCTGATGTATAATGCAGAAATATATCAAAAAAGCAAAGGAAACAATAAAAAGAGGAAATAACACATTTACATTTTATGGTAGTTATGATTATCTACTACTGTCAAAATTTATTTACAACATATATAGCTGGGATTTAGACACCCAAGCTTTCGTGGTGTTCTACAATCTTAAAGACGCGAAATAGAAAGATACGAGCAATATGGAAAGTATTATAGTTCACTGAACAACCCTTAGAATAGAGCTAGACTACCATTGGGCCGTTACATTCTTACAAATATCCTAACATCCTAAAATAGTCTAATACATTCACATCCTAGTTTGGAATTTAAGCATTATGAAATAGTGAAAAGAATTTCACCTAACAAAAAAAATTGAAATGAGAAGGGAAAAAAATTATAGCAATATTATACAGCTATAACACTAATTAGAGGATTGATAGGTGTGTTATAAGGACTATAACACTAATTAGCACACTTATAACTCCACCTAGAGAAGTGGAGATGATAGGTGTGTTATTACAAATTTTGATGGTAATTTGCAAATTCAGCGTCTTGGACTGAGTGAAGGGAACGCTGGGATAGACTGCAGGATCAGCTTACGGCTGCTCTGGCTGCTCCTATGTCCGAAGGTCTGTCTATTGGCATGGTGAGGAGGAGAGATCCTCTTACTGTTTGGAGACAAAGTCTTTAAACCACTGCTGGGAGGACTACAGTTTTGAAGAACTGTAGGGATTTCATCTGCTACACTTTTAAAATGCTTCTCAGGCCTAGATAATGTTCTAAGAAATGTTGATCTTCCTGGTCCATCAACTTGGTGCAGACCTGAGGATGAAGTAATCATTCCTAAGGAAGATCTTGGCGGCTTTCCCTTTGAGGAAGTTGCCACTGGAATTGATTGCCTGTCACATGGAAAATCGCCAAATAAGCCTTCAGGTAGAGTTTTACAGTTCATTGTTGCAGTGTCGGGATTAAGAATATCATACCTGAAAAGCCTTGATGGTGTCATTGGGATGGCGAATTCAGAATGTTGGCCTTCATCATTGTGGAATGCATGTATATCTGAAGTTTTATCCTGCACGGATTTCTCAGAGGCTTGTATCTTTTCCATTTCTGCTTCTGTGCCAATCAGATTGGACCCTGCAATGAGTTAACATCCGACATGGTCAATCAATTACATTAGCAAATGGTGAAAGTCTAATATATGGTGAGAAAACTTGTAGGCATATAATGAACCAACTCACCATCTTTTCTACCAAATGCATTTTTACACCCTTCACATCTGCAATTGATGGAGCATCCAACACCGCCCTATTTAGTAAAAGGAATGGTTTAATATGATTTGCATTATTGCATTTGAGGACTGAACAGACATCTAAAGAGGTGAAGGACTGAAGGGGCAAACCTGATAACATTCACAATATTTTTTCAGACAATTTGACTTCTTGCAGTTGCATCCTCGCTTGTGACGGGCTGATGCTGGAGTTCGGGTTGTATCTTCCTGTTAAGTAGTTTTAATTGAGTCAAAAAGAGGCTAGGTAAAAAAGTGGAGCTAGGTTTTCTTCTTTTAAAATATTTCCTTACCCCGACCTCTTGAGCTGAATCTGCGGTCCTGATCACTTTGGGAGCAAATGCTAGTGGGTTACGAGATTCAATCTGCTTACGAGTTGCAAGAACTGTTTCTTCATGAATGGGCTTGTTGAAGCAGTCTTGACAGGAACATGGCTCAACACAATAAACACCAGCCGCAAAGCATTCACAATAGCTGCATTCATAAAGAGAAGTCAAACCAAAATATCATGTGAGTTGCTTGCTAAAGGAAGATGATCCAAGCATTATTGGGTTGTTTCAACAATTTAATTCAAATTCTTTCTCTTAAAGCATATTACCATACAAAATTTCTAAGACTTCTTAATACAATATAAGGCTTTGTAGAAGCCAAATATGTCTTATAAGTAATGCAGTGTCATGCATAATACAAACTTCCATCAACACATACTTTTCCAATTTCTTAATTTTAACCAACACAAGAAATAAACTTACAGCTTCAAGCACTTTGATTTTTTACAATTGCAACGTTTACACGACGACTCCCCTTCCCCAATAGTCTCAAATTTGCGCCTGTAACAATACATACAACATGAGTCAGAAAACTCATGCTTTAATGGAAAGCCTGTCAAGCAATTATGCTACTAGAAATTAAAAGTTAACTATACTTGCCTCTTTTTCTTTGGACTATTTGAATTTAAGTCCTCAGTAGCTGCATACACTGATGCTTGAGAAGAATCTTCTGCCATTTCAACTATATTTTCAGCAGGACCAACATCTTCTCTTAAAGAAGTTAAGGAGTTCGTAAGAGGATCCTGTGTATTTGTAGAAAGCAACTCTTGGTTGGAGATTCCGCTGCCCTTCGAAACTCCAGCCAGTGCATTTAAATGCAGGCCAATACCTGGCATAATGCGCTTTGCAGGATCAACCCTGGGCGTGATGGGCTGCCTGTTGGAGGGAGGATTTTCCTCATTCGGTAAAGAAGCCATAGATGTGGAGAAAAGAACACTATCTATACTCCTTTTTGTTCTAGGCATTTCAAAGGTAAGGCATCGCCGTCGTAATCCCCTATGAATACTACTGAAAGGCTGCAAATTCAAAACAGGAATATGCTCAATAGAAGTTCTCCATATACTCCAATAAAAAGAAAAAGGTTTTGAAAGCACTAAAAAACAACACTTTAACTCTCTATGCAAGTATAAAAGAGTGACAATCACACAGAAAAAAGTAGTATGATTATATGAGCAAATCTACAATCAAAGTTGCAAGGACATCACTGTTATTAAAATTCGATTTCAGGCTAGAAAATTCTATAAAACCAAATATAATCCACCCAATCTGAGCCAAATACAAGATCAAAGACAAAGTTATGCATCCAAATAGGCATTGTAAACAGATCCAGATGTCAGAATAGAGAGCATGTAAAACATTATAAAGGTGCATGCAAACAAAGTCCAGAAAAACACAAAGCAGATGTTTAAAGCAGATAAGGATAAGGGGGGCTTTATTACCTGCTTTCCTGGTTTTTCACCAGAAAATAATTCATTGACAGAGGCACTTTCCAAATTCTCTGATGGCTGGTCTATTTGATTCATCTCGGTTGCCTCTGTGGGTTGAGTTGATTGTTCTCTAATTTCATGTGCTTCATGACAACTAGCAGAACCAACTTGAAGCGAAGTTTGCAGATCATATGCCTGCTCAGATGGAAAGCGTGCCAAAAGAGACGCAAAAACATTTGTTTCTTCTTCTTGTGATTTTGGCAATGACCCTTTTGAAGTTTCTGTAACATTAGGTGAATCAAATATAAAAAGGTCACTACTACCAGATATCAGGCTCTGCCAATCACATCCTTCCTCTTCGTTATCATGGTTCGTCTCCTTAGCATTCGATTCTGTCTCAAAGGAACCTCTATCAGAAGGCTCCTGGATAAACTGAATAAGGGCTACTGATGTGTCTGGCTCACTTCTTGTTTCATTGCCAGAGGAATTCACTGCCTCACAGTGGCGAGGACTTCCACTGTCATATTTAAGTTCCCTTGGCAGCTCGGCTGCACAGTCTGATGCATCTTCGAGTGGCTTGGCAGAACCTTCACCACCGTCACCTCTAATTTGTACATTTGGCAGACTTTCAGGGTGATGCTCCGTGCTGCCGTCTTCTTCTGTGATAGAGTCTTTGTTTCCTTCATCTATTGACAGCTGATGTCTCGCAAGATCTGAAACCAGATGCCTTTGACAACAAACAAAGATAAAATAACATGTCAAAAACAGATGAAAATTTAAAACATTATAATGTTACTGAAACAAATACCTTATAATGTACATTAACCATACCTTCTTAAGAACTTATTATCCTTCTGAAAGCTCACATGGGGTGAAGTAAATACAGATGGAGGTGAGGTAAAACTAAGCGAGCCAAACGTCTGAGAAACGTGAATCGTCTTCGTTGGGTTGATAGGAGACAAGCTGTTGATAAAGTTGGAAAAAGGAGACTCCTGCATTAAAGGGAAATGCATACAATTACATCAAACAATTATTCAAAAGAGATAGTCTTGTATCACATACATAGTATGAAATCTGCAAAGTATTACTACTGAACTAACAATCTTTGCACAAAAACCATCAATATAGTAAGAAACTTGAAGATCAAAAACCATCATAACAAAATCAAGTAGGCATTAGAAAGATTTTTCATTTTTAGAAAAAACCCCATAAACCTCGATATTTTTTTTTCTTCTTTGATGTAAGAGAGTCGCAAAAGACAATTATGTAGACGACATTTCGATCCTATCATTACAAATGATAAATTGTATACTCAAAACATGGTTAAAAAATTAGGACCTAAAATCAACCCACAAAAAATTGTGTTTCAATTAAACATACACACTCAAAGTACTTTACAAAAATTTTCCGATAAACCAAATAATAATTTCAACAAACCAAAAAAAAATGTAAATAATCCAAAGACTACAATGTATCAAAATAAGAGCAAAAAAACAGGAATATGTGATTTACCATAAACCCCAATATGAAATCAGGGTTTTGAGGAAAACCAAAAAAACCCTTACACTGCAACAAAATAAACCGATCAAAACAAGGAAAACCCTCAAAAAATCATAAAACTATTGGAAAAAAAAAAACCAAACCCTTAAAAAAATTGAATCAGAGACATGCAAATTGAAACGAAAATCAAGTCAACGACATTACAAACCCAAAAAAACCAACTTTATCACAAAATTAACAACAAAACAGGGTAAAAAGGGAGTAAATTTGAGAAAAATAACCTCAAATTTAGAAACGGGTGTTCCGATCTGATTCCTTTCAGGAGTGTCCATGTTCGCAACTCATACATACAAAAAATAAAATCAAAACCAAAATCAAAAGCCTCTTGTATACTTGGATTATTTTTTGTATCAAAAAACGAAAAACCCGAAAAATAAATTGTATTGTTATTGCGAGGGGATTATAGTTGTGAAAAATGGTAAAGGAGAAGTGAAGTGAAGGAGGAGAGAGAGAAGGAATGAGTGAGATTTGAAGGGAGGAAGGAGCGGGAAAGAGATTTTCTCGTGCTGATAACCCGACCCTACCCTTACCCACCGTAGAATACTACTAGTCGTAGAATTTTATTTTATTTTTAGAAATTTATTTTCTTAAATAAATAAGTAAAAAGTGTATAAAAAGACATTGTAAGTAACGTACAATTGGCTTTTTTTTTTTTTTTTTTTTTGGGAAAAGTAACGTATAATTGGATTTGATTAATTGTTGATAATGGAGTATTTATGTTGCTATTCTTTTGCATGCCGAGCTAGATTTTATGCTTTGACCCAGTATTTCAGCTTTTTAATTAACGTAATATGGAGTATTGTTATAGCTAACCTTTTTTTTTTATTAAATAAAAAATACTTTTTATTTTTTCATTAGTAGTATACACTTTTTTTTTTCCTTTGTGAAAAATGAGACATGGGTTTTATAATATTAGTTTGTATAACATAGCATAATTAGTGGTAAGTAGATTAGAGGTTCTACTACCTTTCAAAAAAAAAAAAAAAGAAGAGGTTCCACTATGGTAGAATAGCTTAATGAAGTAAACAAATTAAAGTTATCCTATGGATTTCGGGTTACATTTAGAGCTGTCAATTCGGGTAAATGGGTCGGGTTTGAGTCGGGTTAGTGTGGGTCGGGTCATCTCGGGTCGGGTCAGTACAGGTTAATGTCGGGACCTATGCGGGTCGGGGTCGGGTCGGGTCATGCTTGAGTCGGGTCACGTCGGGTCAATGGGTCATACATCTTATCGGGTTTGGGTCGGGTTTAGATCGGGTCAATAAAAGGTCGGGTTACATTCGGGTCGGGTGAAAAACAGGTTGGGTAACATTCGAGTTTTTACGGGTTTAAACGAGTTAGGGTCCTGTTCGGGTTCGGTTCAAGTCAATTATTTGCGGGTTATAATCAGGTCGGGTCATTATCGGGTTCGGTTCAAGTCAATAATTTGCGGGTTATAATCACGTCGGGTCATTTCCTACTCGGGTCATTCTCGGGTTCGAGTCGGGTTCGGTTCAAGTCAATAAATTTTTTTTTTTGATTTTTTTTAAAGCTCTAAATCAAATTGCATAATTTAAAACATTTTTAAAAATATTAAAATAAACAAGTGAATACTAAAATTTGAAAAAACGGATCAATAAAAGGATTATAAGTAGTTATATGGAAGTTTATTTTGAAGATAAAAAAAAAAAAAAAAAAAAAAAAAAAAAAAAAAAAAAAAAAAACATTTGGCTGATTTAATTAGACAAAATAACTATCATCAATTCACCTCACTCACCTCATATAGCCTCAAATACGTTTAAATTCGGGTTAGTAATAGGTCGAGTTTAAATTCAGGTTAGTAATAGGTCGAGTTTAAATTCGGGTCGGGGCAATAACAAGTCGGGTTGAATATGGGTCGGATCAATAACAACTCGGGTTGATTTCGGGTCGGGTTTGTAACAGGTTGGGTTTAAATTCGAGTCGGGTTAGGAACGGGTCGGGTTGACCTCGGGTCGGGTTAGTAATAATAGGTCGGGTTGAATTCGGATTTTGACGGGTTAAATCGGGTTTGGGTCATTCTCGGGTTCGAGTCGGGTTCCGTTCAGGTCAATAATTTATGTGTCACATTCGGGTCGGGTCCTCTCTAGGCCGGGTTATGGTCGGGTTCGGGTCTCAAATACTCGGGTCAACTCGGGTCTAGGATTGGTTTCAGGTCGGGTTAGGTCGGGTTCGGGTTACCATTTTTTTCGGGTTCAGACGGGTTAGGGTTAGGGTCGGATTAGGGTCGGTATTTCGGGTCGGGTCAGCTTTTGACAGCTCTAGTTACATTATGTTTTACAATTAGTATATAGATTGATCTAAACTGAATTGAATACTTCGTAGGTTTACAAAATAAGAGTCATGAATCGATAAACTTTTAAGATTTCAGGTATGTGCATGAAATATATATTAAGGGGCCATTTGACGGGGGGATACATCAAAGGAAATGGGAATCAACTGCCCTAATTTCCTTTGTTATTGTTTATTAGACCTTTTTCCCATTTACTTTACTCTCTCCATTCCTTCCAAGTTGATTCCCCAAAACCCCAGAACCCCCTATGTATTTCCATTCCACAGGGCCACACCACCTAAAAACCTAATCACCGCACCACCGCCCTTCCCCTACTCCTCATTGCCCCTCCCCGGAAAAGCCCTACCCTTTCCCTCCTCATAAAACGGTCAGGTGCCTCGGAAGCCTAGTGCTTGGGTATTTGTATCTTTCCTTGCTACTAATACTCTATGTTAGACCCAAATTCTACTAAACTACATTTTCTAAAGGCTCTAACACAAAATAATAGATCTTGAAAATTTGAAGTTTAATTTTCTTTAGGATTTTTTTGGCTTTTAACATCTCAAAAAAAAAAAAAAAAAAAAAAAAAAAAAAAAACACTAAATTTTTTTTACCATCAAAACTTCTTAAATTTTTTATTACCACAAAAAAAATTCTAAAAATTATTTTTCACAATCCGCACGTCAAAAAATCATTAAATCTGTCAGAATTTTAAAAATTCTTCAATTTTTGTTGTACAAAATAAATATTCTTTATTGGTTTTGGGGGTCATATTAGTTTTTAGGGTCCGATTTGAGGTAAGAACTGACAAAAACACATGACTAATGTCTCATTTTTCCTTCTAAAAAATACCTCGATTTGCATGAAATACGCAAAACGAGGCACTTGCGATATTTTTTGTCCATTTCGACCTCAAATCATATCCAAAGGGTTAAAAATGATCCCAAAAACCTCTAAAGAGCATGTTTTTGGCATGAAATCGAAGATATTTTTGTAAATAGTTATATTTAACGGTTCTTAATGACATGTGGTAAAAAAGTAATTTTTAGAAATTTTTTAGTGGTAAAATAAAACTTTGAGAAATTTTATGGGGCATTTGGTTCGAGGATATATAGGCATGAAGTATAGGTATAGAATGACTAAAACTCATACCTATGTTTGGTAGTCAAAAATATGAATTTTAACAATACCTCAAACCCATTTGGTATGGGGTTTAGAAACCTTGGGGGGATTGGAGATGGGTTTGGCTCATCGTATTCCCTTAGTAATCAAATAAAAGGAGGGAATAGTGAGATATTTTATTCTAGAATTGAACCAAACACATAATACCACATTAATCTCATTCTTGATTCCAAAGTCATACTACTCTATAAAGCAAACGCCCCATTAGTGATAAAAAACATTCGTGTTTTTTTACGGTGGTAAAAATAAAAATAAAATCCTTAATTTTATGAAAATTAATGTACGTATGTAGCCATTAAGGATACATTTAAAAAGATTAAAAATTATTAAGCAATAATAACACCAGAAGAGTTATTTTATCATAAATTCTTCAACTTATACACTTTTAGAAATTGTGATTAATTAATAGACGCTAATATATATCTTTAGAGCATTGTCAATGATAAGTTAATTGATAAATTTGTGCCTCAATGGTTAGCTAGTAGCTTGCTAATTAAAAAGTTTGACTCTCTCAATTAGCTTTATAAATTTAAGTATTTTAATATATTAATCTCCAAAAATTTTGAAAACTTTTTTCTCAAGCAAATTAGTTCAAGCTAATTGTAATTTTTTAGCTCCAATAGTCAAGCTAGTAGGTAGAGACTTTTAAAAATTTCAAGCAAGACCCTAGCTATAACCATTATTTGTGACTCTCTTTAGAGCAACTTTAATGGCAAGCTAATTTGCAATTAGCTTGTCATGCCACATAAGCTTTTAGGCTAATTATCATTGTAGCTACTTTTTGCTCCAATGGCTAGCTATTAGCTTAGTAGTAGTAGTGGATAGAAAATATATAGAAAGAGTTTAATTGGTGCAATGAACATTTTTATTTTGGAAAGTTTAATTCCCAAGCAAATTAGCTTGGCAAAGCTAATTTGCTTTTGCCAAGCTAATTGAGTTTTCTAGCTCCAATGGTCAAGCTAATAGCTAGGGAATTAATGTAATTGCAAGCAAGTCCTTAGCTATAACCATTGGAGTTGCTCTTACACAAAAACAAACAAACAAACAAACAAACAAACAAACTTCATTCTTTTGATTTGATCTGTTTCATTTATCACCTTTGCCAAGTATAATCTAACCATCAATAATTTCAATTCTTAATAAGTAAAAAATATAATAATTGATACTATATTATGACAATTTTTGAGACAATTCAAACAAGATCCCACATGACTATATGTTTTTTTTTCTTCTTATGTATAAATCACACTAAATGATAAAAAATGAATATATGAATAATATAAAAGTCCAATTATCAGATAAAGTGTAAAACAAACAGAGGAAGAATATCTTTAAAGGAAGTATATACTATTAGTTTATACTTTCATAATCTATAAATATAACTAAAGTAATTACCGCTGATGTCATTACTTTTCACATGTCGACTACTTATAAACAATTTCTTCGCCAAAACTAATAATGACATCATTATTTTTTTTCAACATAAATTAAAATTTGAAAATGGTAAATTAATTATAAATTTTCATAACATATAAAATATTTTATATTTAAATTTGTTAAATATGGAAGAGAAAATAAAGAAAGATGAGGGAAGATTTTTACGTTGTATTTCATATTCCATGTAGTACTGGATATATATAATTTACATTTCCTAGGGTTCCATCAATGGATAAGACCAAATACCCAACTCTAGAATATTCTAGATTGTACATGGGATAATAGTCATCCATATTTAGATATTATCATAACACTCCCCCTTGGATGACTATATATTGAATAAAACAATAACTAACATTTACTACAAAACCCGTACAAAATAATACACTATAATGCGCATAATATGCTGCCTCGTTAAAAACCTTACCAAGAAAACCTAGTGGGAAAAAACCATGGTTAAGGAAAAAAGAGTGCATCGCGCATTAACTCCCCCTCATGACTACATCACTTGAGATCTTTAAGACGACGCAATCCAATGTTGTAAGCTAACTTTTTGAATGTTGCTGTCGGAAGAGCCTTAGTAAATAAGTCTGCTAAATTCTCACTTGAACGAATCTGCAATACATTTATATCTCCATTCTTCTGAAGATCATGAGTGAAGAAAAATTTGGGTAAGATGTGCTTTGTTCTGTCGCCT